AAATTAAAGAGAAAGATTCCAACTTTATGACGCTGGAAACCGCATCCTCGGGAAAAATTTTAGCAAGTCCGTGCACTCGTTCAAACTTTGCAATTTTCAGTGTGGCAAACATGCTCTCAGATTTAAGAGTTTACAGCCACAGGGGTGCGTTAAATTTAAAATTCACTCACGGTATTTTAAAGTAGAGATTTCAAGCTTTCATTTGAAAAAAAATTCATCATTTTACGATGATTTTTCGCGGAGTTACCGTTAACCAAAGTTGACCAATTTTTGCTCAAAATTTTTCTATGCCATAATTTTTTTGAGCAGTGTATATATATGTAATCGAAATCTGTAAATATTTATTAAATATATACACGTAGAATAACATGTATAATGTACAATTTTAAAGGATTGGAAATAAAGATAAAAGCTGTATCTTAATAATATAATTAGAATATAAGTAATATTACGATATTTTCACTTTTCAGTATGTTTCTTATAGCTACAGCATAAGAAAATAATATTTTTGATATTAAAGCAATGTAATATTTACAGATTAATCACATGTAATATTATATTATTTTTTGAAGTTATTTTTTCTATGAAATATTTCTTTGTAACAGAAAAAATTGTAGCGAAAACAAGTTTTCATTGCCAAACACTTACCCAAAAGGTGAATTTGCACCACGACAGTTTATTCTCGTCATAATCATAATCCATAGCGTGTTTATACATATTTACGACACAATCCTTCCTGCTGGTGTTTTTTCTTTTATTCAACTTCGTGTTATCGTCATTATCATCGTCCTCTTCATTCTCAAAAGTTCTACTCGCATTAATATTATTATCATCGTCCGATTCTTCCTCCTTGTCGTTTAACGTATCCTCAATCTCCTCTTCTTCGGGATCTTCGTACTCCTGATTCTCTCGATGACGCGACAACGATTTAGCCATCGTCGCATCAGCATCTTCCGCGGCTTGTTCCTCATCGGACGACTCGTGCATCTCTCCTAAATCCATCCGTGTTCTATTCCCAGGTTTCTCCGGCGCCACCTCGTCAGGATCTATTTGATCTATCGCCGCGTCCTCGTCGGTCGTCACTCGTCTCTTTTCTCCCTCGAAGTGCAACAAAATTTTCGACACTTTGGCAGATTTTTTAATTTCTCTGAATATATTCTTGAAGAAAATTTCCTCGGTACACTTAATCACGTCCCGTGGATGAACGGAGAATTCTCCCTTGTAGTACTTGTGAGGAAGATATTTGACTGTCAAGGTGTGGACCAATTTTCTATGCGGGCCGTCCTCCATTCTCCTGCTCATCGTAACATCCCTCAACACGTCGTGCAGGACGCACTTTGTCAATCTCAATCTCAGCTTCTTCGCCTGCTTGTCGAGATCTTGCAAGTCGCTTTGGAACGGTATTTCCATACTCGGTGTCTTTATGTTTCTCGACGCCATCATCAGGATTTCACGCAGTCTCGGAATACCCAAGGTCACGTTCATCTCTCCACGTCCCGCAAAATGGAAGGTGTTCAACGTCATCTGAGTGGACGGCTCGCCTATGGATTGCGCCGCCAATAAACCAACCGGCTCGCCAGGCGGACAAATTGTCTTCATAATCTTTATAGACAGCAGATCTCTCAGGGCGGACTTTTTGATTCTGACGGACGGACGGGAGAGGTATTCGTCCATTAGGCTTTCTATCCGTTCGGACAGTACACTGAATTCAACGTCCTGCCGGTATCTTGACATTATCGGATCGGGACATTTGGCACATTGCGCGCGAAATGACTCCTTCACCTCCCTCTTCGCTCTTATCCACTTCCTCATGAGCGACAGCGCGGTTTTGCTTCTTCCGCAATTGCCGTCGATGGCGTTTCGTTTCGCACTTGCGTTACTCCGATCGGAATTCTCCATGGAGAATCTACCGAACTCACTGATCCTCCTCTTTTGCAACGAGGAGCCATTTTTGCTCTTCCACTTCTTGATCTTCTTCATCATCTTCGTAATCTCCTCGTTATCCCCCTTCAGGCATTTCAATAACTCCTCGTCTATGATAGATTCCTTATTGTCGATCAAAAATCCAATCTGGTCTTTCCTCAGGAAACGCGAACCCGGTATATCGAGGCCGTCCTCGCCGTAATGAAACTGTATCAAGCTACCGTCGTAGTCCCTAACGGTCGCGTCGTAACCGACGATCAAGCCTTCCAGGTGTTTCACCAAACATCTCTGCAAGTAACCGGACCTACTGGTTTTCACGGCGGTGTCGATGAGACCCTCGCGCCCCGCCATGCAGTGGAAGAAGCATTCCTGCGGTTTGATGCCCGTCATAAATCTACCGTCGATGAAACCGCCGGCTCGAGGTGTCGGATCGTATGCCGGGAAGCTCGACAAGCTCTTCCCGCTGATCATCAACGGCGGCCTCTTGCCCTCCAACTCGCTCTGACCGAGCAGACACGATATCTGCATGGTATTGACTGTGGATCCCTTCGCACCGGATTGCACCATGAGCTGCAGATTGTTGTCTGGGAATTTCTTGAAGAGTCCCGCTAGCAGGCAAACCTTGTTAATGTCATTCGTGTAAACGTCCAGGGTGCTCTTGTACTTGTGATCGACTTGCGCGCGAAATTTCGCGTTGTTCCAATAGGATTCCTCCATCTTGGCTCGAACCTCGTCCATCGACGCGCCGTCGGGTGCTTTCGCCACGGATCTCTGCACTGCCTCGCCGACTTTTCTGCAGCTGGAAATGATCTCTCTACGCTTCTCGTCGATCTTCCGAGTTATCAGAATGTCCTCGACTCCGAGGGTGAAGCCGTCGCGCTGCAGAAACATCTGGAACAGCCGGCCGAACGCGCTCAGCACGTCGCTCGCGCATATCGCCCCGTACAATTCGTAAATACAATGAATAAGACCGTAAGGAGTCGCGCCGTAATGCATCTTGTCGAGCACGCCGCACAACAATTCCCCGTGTCGAATCACGACCTCGGCCTCCGACATGGTTGTCGGGTCTTTAAATTCCGTTCCGCATTTCCAGCGCCGTGGCGCCTCCGCTTGCCACTCCTTCGCGTTGATTTTCGTGCTGGAGGTCAAATTGATGCGCGCCTTGTGCGAGGGAATGATATTGATGATGACCGTCGAGAGGATCTGTTTGCCCGACCACAGCATTTTCGGCTTGACAATCGTTGGCGGTAGGAGAATGATGTTCTTCTGCGTCGTCGGCAACGCGGTGTAAACCAGCTGCGTGTAGTGCACCCTCGAGAAGAATCTACCTCTGGTCGTCAGCCGCACTCCGGACACCATGTAATCCTGTATAAGGCCGCTCAACGGGGTCCCGTCTTTCGGCACGAGATACTGATTCGACACATTGGCTATGTTGTAGCTCTCGCTTCTGGCCAGTTCGTTCTGCGGGAAATGAGCGTTGAGCTCGTCGCCGTCGAAGTCCGCGTTGTACGCCTTGCAATTCGCATAATGAAGATGCAGCGTTTTCTCACCTCTCAGGACACGCGCTTTGTGCGCCATTATACTCGGCTTGTGCAACGTCGGTTGTCGGTTGATCAGCAGCACGTCGCCGTTCTGGAGATGCCGGTGCACTATTTTCACGCCGACGAAGGACTCGTTGATCCGGTCGCTCGTCACCAAGAGACGCTTCGCGATAGCTTCCCTCTGCGTCAAGTCCTTGCCGTCGATGGCCTGCACCGAGCCGTCCTCGTTCTCGACCATGACCGCGCCGGGATAAACCGGCCCGTTGGTGACTAATCGTCGCAATTCGACGACGTTCCACGGCGTCACGGCCGTGGGATACGTTAATTTGCGGGCGAAAGCCTCGGGTATGCCGATCTCGTCTATATTCAAGTCGGGATCCGGAGTGATAACCGAGCGCGCGGCGAAGTTCACCCTCTTGCCCATCATGTGCATCCTAATGATGCCCTCCTTCTTCTCGAGAACCTGCTTCAGGCCCTGGCCGTTGAGGGATTCCGGAGTCTTGTTCATGTCGCGATCCATCAGGTGATTCACATTGCTCTGCAACGTCTGCCAGGCGTTGTGCAACTTCTCGACCGCCGTGGTGCCCTTTATCTGCTCGAAGACAAGACGACCTTCCTGCGGCAGGTGCTCGGTGCCGCCGTCCTGAATGGTTTGTATAATGTTTCTCAGGACCAAACAGTCCTGTATGATACTCTTGTAGATGTGCGTTTGCGGATGCTCGACCATTTGACCGTTGAGAAAGTTCACCGGTCGCACGATCGGCGGTAGGACGGGTATCACCTCGAAGAAAAATATATCAGTGGGATACTCGATGTCCACCAGCTCCAGGCAGGGTACAATTATCTTGAGAAAATCCTTCTCGTTGCTCCACAGTTTTCGTAGATATTCCTTGGACTGATCCGGCATAATCATCATCGCGTCCAATCTATGTACCACCTTGCGCGCGACCACTGCTTTAGAAGGTGTAACCTCCTTGTTGGTCACCATTATTTTATTTTGCAGGGTTGAGATTTTTGGAAGGCTATCGTGACAATTCAGGCATATTCCAGCTTTGTTGTTTCTCACGTATTGCTTAAGTATGTTCTCAACATGCATATGCCATTGCATAATGATGTTCTTTGTATTAGCCTGATCCTCGTGATTCTGAGTCATAAATTCACCGTTTCTATTTCTATTCAGGAAATTTTGTATATAAGTGTCAATTAAAACACGAGCGCACTCCGTTCGTTCGTCCTCCTTCTTAAGACTCGATATTGCGGACATCACCTCTTGATCCAAGTCATCGAGGTCGCTGAGCTGTCCTTGATAAAGTAACTGTAATTTTGCAGACAGCAGTAGTTTGAGGTACGAAGGTATTTGTAACGTGAAGCAACTTGTACATGACAGTTTGAGTAACACGGACAGTGCTTTGTGGAACAATGGATTGACAATAGGCACTGGTAATTCTATATGGCCAAAATGACCTGGGCATTTGAAACCACTGTGTCCACATGTGCTGCATAGCTCTGAACTACTTTTTGTTGTACCTATAAAAATATAGTATCAAAATTAAAGCTTGTAGAATATGTAATATACACATGTATATAATTTTTGCACTGTCATATATTTAAGTTAATTATATATATTTATATATGTAATATTACATACACTAAATGAATGACATAAATATGTATGCATAATATACTTATAACAAACAAATTTCTGAAAATTTGCAGCTAATCCTCAATGATAATATGATAGTCTAATAATTTTAATTAACTAATAACTTCAATTAATCTAATTTAGATGTTTTAAATTGTTATATTTATTTTATATTATATTATGATAAATTTCAGTCTAATAATTTTGAAAAGTTAAATAAACTATATGTATATATATACAGATTATAATTAGAGATGTTTTCCAGCAGGAGATATGACACAATGAATCATTATACAATGAATCGTTATTTGTCAATGTTAAACAAGGATAAAATTATTTTCTGTGTTACAGTATATTCTTTGTTGGAAAATCCTCAGAATTACTTATAAAATTTGAAAAAAAAATTAAAGATACGTAAGAAACATTGTTTCAAACAAGGAAAAAATATTTCATAATTGGCCCAAACATCTTTCATAACAAATTGTAAAATAAAATATTGCTTACCTAAGGATGGGTCGTACAATCCACCCTTCAGTGGATGTCCAAGAATGTTAAAAGATAATGGTGTTCTGATTTTCGTTACACTTAAATTCCTTATATCATTTGCTGTGAAGACTGAGAATAGTAAATGCTCGGAATCCTGATGTTTCGGTATTAAACGATGCCTATAATATTTACTCATCTTGACATTCCTTCAGCTCCCATAAGATCTATAAAAAATATTAAATATAATAATTATAGGAACAACATGTATGAGAGCAGTCAATGTTTATTCCATATAGCCAATTCATATCTTAATTCATAAGAGATTAAAGTTAATAAAAAATTATTAATAAAAAGATTATGAAATAAATTGTTTTAAAAATAAAAAGAATAGTTATCATACATAGTATTTTTATGAGATACTATAACAAAAAAGGAACATGTTAAAACTATTTAACTTTTCTTTTAAATTTCAGTAATTAAATAATTATGTGAGAAAAATCGCCTTACTCATTGATTTTAACAAAAGTTATTACATATCTTATTGATCAGAAATAATATAAAATATAAATTCCACACTGATTCGCACTAAAAATTGCTATAAAGTAATTTAATTATAAAAGCATAATGTAAACATATTAGCAAGTAATACACAATGTTAGTATATTGTTACATTTTTATATTACAAAATTATTTATTGGATCTTTTGTTGATTAAAAAACTTATATTATGCTTTTGTATTCAAATATTTTCATGTAAATCAATCTTTTGAATGTCTCAATGCAGTGTACAGGCAATTTATTTTGAATAAACATTATATTTTACAAGATATTTTTCTAAATTAGGAAATTGTTATCTCATGCTTCTATATAAAACAGATAATAAAGAATCGATCACTATTAATAAAATATCGGTTTTTATCACTTTCTTTTGTCATTCATTTTACGTTTTAAATGGACATTATAATATAAAAACGTGTTAAAGCTGAGTGAGGACTTAACCTAACCTAATCAAATCTGGTTATCAATCTTACGAAAAATTCACAATACACTTTTTAAACATACAAAATAAAGATTACGAATAAAATTGGCTTAAAATTTCGAGTTTATCATAATAAACCGCTGAGAAGCGAAAAAATTATTCATACACAGTATTTAAATTTTTCTAACCTAATTTCGTCAACGGGCCGTTCGAACGACAGAATCCTCACTTTCTTCTTTCTGCTTCTCTCGTCACTTTCGTGTGGCACCTGCTCTCAAACGGAGGTTTTTTTCCTTTTACTCCACCGGTCGGTTGAATTATAGCGCCTTGACCTTCTCGCAAGTTTATATAGCACACTGCACTGCTTTCTCAAACGGAGGTAAGCCAAAGAGGTTATCAGAGGTTATGCAGGGTGCCGACAGTGCCGTGCCGGCCATGCTGCCGGCCAAAACAGATGGTCACGTGATCGTGACGACTTGTCGCTGAAGGCGGTAGATGGCGGGAGCACAGCAGCACGAACTTTTGCACGCTGAAAAGGTATCTAACCTCAAAAATTCGAACCTCTACAACTTCTTCCTTATTTTCAATATGCCGCAGAAGATAGGGAAGATCATTTAATTTACTTGAGAGGACAAAGAGAAGTACAAAGTAGAGGAAAGCAGTGCAGTGTGCTCTAATAACCTTGCGAGAAGGCGCCATAATTCACCGGCCGGTGGAGTAACTGCAACTCGAAAACCTCTATGGATGCTTTCCATTTAGGACACAAGTCGACACAAACGTCATTCTATTCTTCTTAGCACTTTTAGTGAGTAACAAAGATATGACATGCTCGATCTATCTTATGATTTTTATGTAGCATTTAACTATTTAAGTATCTATACTATATGCTAGGGCTGTAACCTTCGACCTTTCGAAATTTAAGGTGCCTTCGAAGCTTCGAAGTTTCAAAGTTTTGAAAAATACATTAAAAATTTGAATTTCCTTAATTAGATTGTTTTATTGATCATTATCTTTCTTTATTTACACATGTATCCAATTTAATTATTAATTTGTAACATTTCAGGTTATAGTACTTTCAAATTTTTTAGGAATAATTTTGTATACGTATTTCTTCTTTTTATTTACAATATTTGTAAATTTTCTGAATAAATTTATCATTTGCTCGAATGTATTTTTCGAAATTTCGAAACTTCGAAGGCACCTTAAACTTCGAAGCTTCGAAAGAATTCGAAGATTTTAATGTCAAAGCTTCGAATCTTCGAAACTTTAAAGTTCGAATGTCGAAGCCTTCGAAGCAAATCACCAGCCCTACTACATGTGTGTGGATTAATGTTTTTATTGTTGCTTTTTTTCAGATTGGAAATTGAGTTTCTATCAAGTGTCCTTAAGTTTAATTGCATAAATCTTATCATTTTTTTAAAATCTATGTGGTTAAATCGAAAATATCATAATGAATACCGATGTAGTAGCAATATTAAAAGAGCCAAGAATGATAAAAATATGTGCTCCGATGGTCAGATACAGCAAGTGAGTGAAAAACAATATTCCAAGTTGCATTTTTTATTGTATTAGGTTTGTTCTTTAGCTAAATTTCTTGTATCTTCATCTTCCCTCTTTTTCTCTTCATGTTGGAAAAAAAAAGAGAAGGGATGAACAGTGCAAGAAGTTTAATTAAAAGAATGGATCTAACGACTTTTTATATGACGCCGTTTATAATCTTAAATCCTTAAAAAATTTTACTCTTCTCTTAAGTTCATTATTTAATTTATACTCTTACTGTCTCAATTTTATATTACTTTTCCTACTCCTTACATTACTCGCTTTAATTTCTTTCACAAACTTTCGAGAAAATGGATAATAAAGCAGTACTCGGACCGCAGCGAAAGCCACGGCCGAGTCGTCACACGAAACTTACGATTTCTCACTTTCTTGCTTTTTGTTCAGGTTACAGTTCAGAACACTTGTAAGGCGATACGGATGTGACATATGCTTTACACCTATGATCTTAGCGGACTCATTTGTGCAATCCTCAAAAGCCAGGGACATCGAGTTTACCACCCACGAAGAGGATCAGCCACTGATCGTTCAATTTGCGGCTAAGACTGTAAACGATTTTGTTGACGCCTCAATGATGGTCGCACCGTAAGTTTATTGTAAATCAGTTTATATACATGGGTGTACTCAGGATTTTCTCAGTCAGAAAGAGAAGGAGAGGGAGGCAAAAATTTATTTTCACATAAAACTTTCAATTTAGCAAAATACTAGCAATATGCCAATATTACGCTAGCAAAGGCCGTAGCCGGATAAGGAGGGGCAATCTGCCCCCGCGCCGATCATGACCATTTTTTACAGTTTAGTTGTTATCAATATCAGTTACAATTTTACCAAATATTAGCCCTTAATATTCAACCGTTGGGGTGTGAGAAATAAAAATCAGAATTTCAAAAAAAATTTATATCTTTTAAACGGCTCAATCGATTTTCATGAAAAAAATATATGTTGTAGATGTAGACAAGATACATTCTGTCTCTTATACACATCT